GACTTGCTTGCTAATAAATGCTGAAAGATACTCACCCTAATAGAGGCTAGAAATATTTAGCATGCTTTGGAAATCAACATCTGAATATTTTTCTTTGGGTTTGTCTTCAGTACTGATCGCGTGCAACTAACACGATCGCCAACATGACATTTTCATTAAAGTTCTCTTGATTTCGTGCAAGGCCATAATAATAGTGAGACAGATAGAAAGAATTATTGACTGAAGTTACCTACGAAACGAACCTGACGAATACTGCGAAAACGGTAGATATATTTTCGCCTATTTTATTTCTACATTGACTCGATTTCCTGATCATTTCTAGCTCGCGTATTTTTAATCTTGGCTTACGGTCGTATCACGTTCAAACCCAACCCCAGTTTCCGCTAGATTACTGAAGATAAGCAAAGCCGTACCTGGTCAATATCTATCTGGGAATACTTGATGCAGTAAGCTTGGATGTGGGTGAGATGCAATGGATATATCGGCTCGGAATTGGAACTCAAAGAGCCGAGATACAATTCCAGTCGAACTTACGCGGAAATTCCCTTGGGAAAGGAATGAATCCAACTCTCTCCCCCTACTATGGGTTAATTAGTAGGAGTTGTATCAGTAAATCATTATTATCTCCAAAAGATTGTTATAATCTTAATCTAAATATATTCTGACTGTAAATAACCTGTTGATAAACCGTAAAACAAATTAATCTTTTTGATTTTTCAGATAATTCTGTAAGAAGCTCTTTCAAGAATAATCATCAAAGAACAAAATAAATAAGTTTTAGAACTTATTGTTCCTAATTCATATTTGGTAATTAAAATAAAATTTTAAAATTATTATGTCACACCAATTTCTTATCAGCTGTGTCATATCCAAGTTTGTTTGTTTTTTTAAGCAATTCACCCCAAGCAAGGCGGGAGTGCTACTAGCACGCAAGGGGTTACAGAGGATTGGGAACAAGAGTAAAGAGGTGTGTTTGAGTCAAGGATACAGAGAAGGACAAGGAACAAGATCAAGGTATCAGAAGATGTCGATTGACATTACACTTGAATATTTCAAGATTATAGTTATCAGGGAAGCAAGTAAGGGGAGGGGAGTTCCACAGACGAGAAGTGCGAGAGAAGAAGCTGTTTGAGAAAAAGAGACGGTTACATTTAACCGTTTTGCCAGTGAAAGGGTGGGACCGAGATGCCAGTCTAGTCGCTCGCTTAAATTCATGCAATCCGGAAACCAGCGAAAGTAGCTTGTCGGAATAGTTGCCGTGAAAATACTTGTAGAAGAGACAGAGGGAAGCCACAGCCCGTCTGTGATAAAGCGACCGTAGACGAGATGCCAGATCAGGACCTATCTCATTGCATATTCGTCTCTGGATTTTCTCGAAGAACTCGGGGCGTACAGCGGGGACAACAGACCATATATGACAGCAATATTCCATGCAAGGACGGATGGTTGATTTATAGATTTGATAGATGGACTCAGACTAGAAAAATTTCCGGCACAACTCAGAGTTTTGATAATTATGTTTAAAAAAAAAAAGACCCATCGAGAATGGAACTCACTTCAGTAGTAATCGCATAACAGACACGATTTGTAGCCATTGTAATGAAGTGGGGATTCTGATTAAATAATAACCCGAGACTTGAATCTTCGTTGCTTAACATTTTATTCACTTTAGTATTTAATTACTTACTGCCGTCTTGTCTGTGGTATGCAGTCCTCGTGCCGCCGCCGATATGACAGACGGATCCTACCGTGTCTTCGATGTGTGAGACACTGCTATAAGACTCCTAGGGTGGTTGTTTGTACAGCCATCTGTCTAACCTTCTCGGTGTGAATTCACGTAATTCAGCATTCGGTGGCGAGTAGTGTATCCCAGGTCAACTCTGCATGAACTGGTGCGACATTTGAGGGGGATGGTTGTTCAACCACACCATTCATCCACAAAATATTAATTTCTATTAGTCCTGTACAAGGTCATAAATATAGAATATCCAATAGGAATCGAATGTACAACAGTAGTAATGGTAAAACAGACAAGATTTCTAACCTAACAATAATCAATGAAAGTACTGCTAAGCTTATATAATTTTTATGCTAGAAGTCACACAATACAAGGCTCGTGAGAGATTCAAGGCAGTCGATTACTGAATGAAGAATTTGGTACGAATAAATTAAAATGTAGCAGGGAATTAAGATTATGAAGATTAGGGGGAGAGATAAAAACTGATTCTTAACTTGAAGTGATGAATATTGTAGTGTTCAAGGAAGCACCCACAAGGGAGTATGTTCCACAAATTAACAATTCTAGGAAGAAGAGTGGAAATATCTTCTTAACTAAGTCTGGTGCAAAACCATAAAGTTCTGTACATCCAATAAGAATAGAATTCACATCTGCAGGAAGGAGACACGGTGGAGTAATGGATAGCGGTTCGGATTGAGGAATCGGAGAGCCGAGTTTGAATTCCAGTCGAATCCATTACAATACCCTTGTATCCTTTTCTTCTTCCCCAGATATGGGTAAATAGCAGGACAGACCGGGTTCTATAGCCTTGGATGGCAACTGGTCTACCGCAGAAAGAAATGACAACCTACTGCGGGAAAAAATCTGCCTCATCAGTCATGTATCGAAAGATACATGATCGCCTATATCACGCATGGCAGATAAGTAATGACTGAGTAAAACTAATTAGGTAACTCCAAAATGAGACGGCATCGAAATTAACTATATTTACTAAGGCAGAAGGCTAAAATCCACTCAGTGAGATTCGAATTCACGACGAATTTACCGAAAACAAGGAAGAAAAATAAGGAAAAGAAAGAAAGAAAAAGGAAGAAATACAGCGAGAGGGGAGGAAATACCAATCATAAAAATTATTATTATCTGTTTAAGATATTTTTTTGAAGGAAGGCAATTTGAGCACAAATCTATATTTATAGCTCTCTCAGAATGGAGCGAACATGAAGTTAATGGGTGGCGTGTCTTGTTCCCTAACCAAGGTGTTTGTTTTTTTTTTAAATTTTGTTGCTTGCTGATTCAAACATTTTTATCGGAATCAATTTTCAACTGTCTTTCTCATAATTCTTTGCTTCGAATTTCTGTCTCTCCCCTCAATATCAATACTTCAGTCGATGAAGGATTTTGTACAGCTATATTTTTTTGTTTTTTTTAATTAGCATTTGAGAAATAAAATCTTATTAAGATTCGATAAGAGCGGAAAATCGACTCACAACCTTACTTTTTCTTTATATAATCAATCAAAATTAGACTTGAAATTTGCAGCTCAGTGGTCAGGTCACAACCTTATCAGGAAGAAGGAAGAAAAGTTCGCTTCCCGAGCCCCTGCCAATGAAAACGTTTTGCAAATATCCAATTTATTATAGAACGAAAAACATTTATTTCTCATTTAGGAAAATCGACCTCTGCAGATACTTTTGCCTCGACAGTATTCACTAAGTCTAAATATCCTCAGCAAATATTAAATTAGCCTTGCTTAGCCTGGCACAAGGCCACACATTACGGACAAATCCTGATGTTTCTAAGCAGTTACTCGTAAAAATAGAAACCAGGTTTACTTCAGTAATCGGACGATAGTCAGTGCTTTCTGATCTTGACTAGCTATCTTTTCCAGCATTCATGCGCTAAATGAAAGAAACTTGTTAGGTTAGTTGATTTTTAAATGCCAACACTTGTCTGGTTATTTAATGTAATGTAGCTTCCCTGTGCCTTTTCTATAAATACTTTCATGGTAATTGTTCTGATGAACTTTGCTCTATAGTATCTAGACTTTATGAATTTAAGCGCAGTACTAAATTGGCAACAAGGTCTAGTCGTTTTATGTTAGATGTAACCGTAAGTTCTTTGCTAACAATGTCTTCTTCTCTCACCTATTGAACTCTCTTCCGGCTCCTTGCTTTCCAGTCTACTTTAATCTTAAAAAATTTAAATGCAATGTCAATCGTTATCTACTGTCTTCTTGACTGGTAACGAGGTCTCCTCATTTTACAGTTACTTTTCTTTTATTATTCTTCCTCCTTAATTATGCTTTCTTTTTCTTATACTCTCACACGCAGTAACTCCTTTCGTCTTAGTGGCTGTATTCCCTTGCTTAGGGTGAAATGATTAAAAACAAATGTCAACCTTTGTTTTGCTATGAGGCACCCAGTGAGGATCGAACTCACTATTCAGTAGTAATGGTAAGCATTCTAATCTCATTAACCATCCTCGCAAGTCGAGAGGCAAAAAAAAAAGAAAGAAAGAAAGAAATAGAGGAGGTGATATGTGAGTTCTCTACCTACCATAAAAATCATTTTTTCAAATAAAGTTTTTGTTTGTTTGTTTTAATTTGATGAAATATTGAATTCTTAAACTTCTAAATAACTATCCTTTAATTTTAGTTTTTAGATCAATACGCTGACTTATTTTTAAGCCCAAATACATAATTTGTACATTTAAGGTATACTTAAATTTGTTCTTAACAAACCCGAAAATGTTAAACTTACGTCCTCCTAACCAACATTCGAAACACTTATCAATCTCTGCAGGCAATACACGTGATAAATGTACATCTTTAAGGAAACAGGCATCTTCAGAAATGAAAACAGAATGTCTAAGGTAAGGAGAACAGGGTATTAATGTCTCTCAGCCCTCAGGCTGTAATGACAGCCCGCTAGAAACACCCATCTCGTTTTCCCAGCCAACAGCAGTCCATGGTAAATTAAAAATTGTTATGAATTATTGAAAATGTTTGGAGAAACGTCGAAGAAGACAGCGTCAGTAAAAGTGTGATTATGGAAGTGAAAAGAGGAAAAGGGTTTACTTTGATTGGATAACATCTGCACAGCTGCAATGAAGATGAGAGGAATTAGAAAAATCAGCACTGTGGCGATAAAGGCTTGGGCGACAGACGCTGACAATGAGATCGCTCAGGCAACAGAAACAAGGTTACGCATACGTATATGATTCACATACACATGTCATATTAATGCTTACGACCTTCTACTAGTTTCGTCTTATCTCTCATTCTACTACCTTTCTCTCGTTCTTTTTGTCGTCTTTTTTTTATTTTCTTTACTCTCTTTTTCTCACTTTCTCTATCGCTCTCTCCATCGCTTGTCTTTTTTCGGAGTCTTTTCTCTTACACACAATTCTCATTTTGGTCTTTCTCTCTTCCATATTCTCATTCATAATCTTTTCTATTTCTCTGTTTCTCTTTCTCCCTCTTCCACTCTCAATTGCTCTTTTTCTACGACATTTCTACTTTTTTTCTCTTTTTATTTCTCTCTCACTTTCTCTCTATCTCATTCTCTCTCTCTCTCATTCTTTTTCTGCGTCTTATTGTTTACTCTCTATATCTTTTTCTCTATTGTTCTTTTCCTTCGTTTTTTTTTTTTGTTTTTTTTAGTCTCTTTTTCTCTCGCTATTTATCGTTGTCGCTTCTATTTCTTTTCCTCTCTGTATCTATCCACCCCGTTGTCTGTCTTTTAGTCTGTCTGTCTGTCTCTCTCTTACTAATGCACACAATGTCTTTTTCTAATTCTCATTTTCTCTCTATCTAGCTATCTAACTATCCATCTATCGATCTCAGTTTGTTCATTCATATATATATATATATATATATATATATATATATATCAGTTCGTTCATATCTATTTATCTTAATTTGTACATATCCATCTCCGTCTTTATCTATCTATCTATCTATCTATCTATCTATCTATCTAAGCGGATTTTTCAATCTTTCCTTTTTCTTCACAGCTTTCTCTCCCTCTCTTTCACACAGACACAGACACACGCGTACACACACACACAGACACACACACACACACATATATATATATATATATATATATATATATATATATATATATAAACACAATTTAGATGTCTATTGGGGGAAAATCAGTACAGGCAACAAACATCCAACATACCCACCGAACAGACATAATCTATATACTTATTCTCGTATGCACCACCGATCGTTAGAGAAGAGAACTCGATGTCCTCATGTCTAAATTTAAAACAGTGTTCCTTATTCTTAGTATTTACTAAATTTAACTTAGTGCGTCAGAAAGCTGAACGGGGAAGACGGCAATGGAACGAAGAAACGCGTTTCGTTAATCTTCCTATTATGGACATTGTCTGCCTTTAAAAATACCATTGGCTGTTAAGTGAGCTTGAAATGCGCAACTCTCTCACCCGCCGGTCCTGTCCAGCCTATGTAGTTCTTATTCTTGTACAAATGATAGATCAATTGCAAAACGAACTAGAATTTTGCAGGATTTAATTTAAAATACTGGTGGTTATTCTGAAAGAAAAACATGTACCCTTTCTCTGAAAGCCTCGTTTTGGATAATGGTTAACACTGTTGCCGCTAAAACTATGACTATTTCTAGCGACTTCCTGCCTTATTGGGTGCTCCAGTAACAGACTAATTTTATATTTTAATACATAAGCCTGCTCTCTCTCTCTCTCTTTCTCTCTCTCTCTCTCTCTCTCTCTCTGTGCGTTTGTGTACATGTGTGTGTTTTCTTTACTCTAAGTAGCTGATGCTAATGTTTCTAACAATTTTATAACATATTTATTTAGAACTTGATAGCGTTATTATTCAGTTATTAAAGTATTTTCCCCGCTTTCAATGAATTAATGCTAGCTAAACTGTGTATCCTGTGATAAAAGAACGATTCCACTTTTAAATTGATGAATTCCTACAGAAATCTTTCGAAATCTCCAAATTGTTTAAACAGTTGACCAGACAAAGAGCGGTTTTATGAAAAAGAAAAAGTGATCAGTTGAAAGAAACAAATCAAGGGACAACACCATCCTTCATGATCGTTTGTTGTATCGCATTTAAAATGAATTCTTGTTCAGATTTCTTTCTCTTTCAATGTACCATTCAAACAAATTTAAGGATTCACCTCAACTTTTCTGTAAATTGATACGTTACTCCAATTCACTTTTCAAATTCTGAGGTTTCCCGAAGAAGCGTTTGTCCTTGAGCAAGGAATGTCTTTTTTAAACTATTCCCAACACATCCTTTTATCTATTACAAGGTAATAATACATTGTTTTGTTTTAATTCTATTTTCCCAAACCCGACACGAAAAATAAACAACGCAAAATGTACCTTTTGGATCCAAGCCCATAAATTTCACCAAACGTAAATTGATCATTTTTTCCCCTACTAGCTATTAAAAAGTAGACCACAGGCAATAATGAGCTTCTTTTTTTTTTAATCATTTCAACCCAAGCAAGTCAATAAAGCCACTAACACAATGAGTGTTAGAGGATACGAGAAAAAATTCTATGAAGGAGAGAGAAAATAAAAAGAGCTGAATAAAATTCAAAGACACTTCTAAGATTCCTCTAACATTGGGCAAAAACGATTGAAACGTTTTCATCACATTAATACATAAAAGTATCTTAATTTATGCAATCTCATAAGTCCATGTGTTTTCCTTAAATAATGCGCTCTTTTTCCGGCAGATTCGTACAAAGGCAAGCACTTAGTTCTGTCTGTCTCTGTCTCTCTCTCTCTCTGTCTCTGTCTCTGTCTCTGTCTGTCTCTGTCTCTGTCTCTCTCTCTCTCTCTCTCTCTCTCTCTCTCGCTGCCTTCTTTGATTTGAATATAGTGTATCAATTACAAAAAAAGTCAAATTGACGTGCCGATCACGGCTACCTTATTCGTCGGATAAGTAATCCATGTTCACTTGTCAAACGCAATTTTTTTTTTGAAGTCACCGCTTGATAGACAGGACAAATAAAGGGGATGTTAATTAACTGTCAATGTTACTACTACTCGTCACCAGCCATTAGTCCAACTTGCTGACGCAAGAGCAAACATAAAAAACGTCCACAGAACAATTTAGATTAAGATTTTATGATTAAATAAAAAATAACACTTACTACTGAATGTGCTGAACCACATCATCCTCACTTTCAAACACAATATCTTAAAACTCGTCATCAAATAACGAGTACTTGACAAATTCTAAATACTTGTACTTCTTGCTACGGACAGACCAAAAAAGAGAATGGCCTTCGCTTTAAACAGAACGAGCTGCCAAATATATTTTATGTCGTCAGTTCAGAGCTTCTTAGTCGTCAATGTAGTGCTAGGGTTGAGAAAACTCATCTTCGAAAGCCTTCGCTATAATGCCACCAACGAGACAACTGTCTTTTGACATTTTTTGTGCTAGGGTCGAGAAAACTCGTCTTAGCAAGTAGTTTAGTTCCTGGTACATGATAATACGTCTTAGCAAGTCATTTTAGTGCTTGGGACGAGAAAACTCGTCCTTGCATTTCATCAATTTAATGTCACTATTGAGACAACTGTCTTAGCAAGTTTCCATTTATGTGCTACTGGCGCGATAACTCGTCTTAGCAATTCGGTTAGTTCCTGGGACGAGATAACTCGTCTTAACAAGTCGTTTAATTCCTGGAACAAGTCGTTTAGAATTCCTCCTTAATCAACAATATCAGTCAGTATATTATTGAAATAAGGTGGCTTGTTGTGGATGAATTACTACAGTCTATCAGAACCGTAGGTGCAGAAAACTCTGCTCGTAAAAATGCTTTGTGCCTTTTTTTATAAAACCCAAGCAACTTTATAACATTAATACATTTACGAAGCGCAGAACCGTGAGAAGAACTTATAATTGCCTGACACGACGGATTCACTATCCGTTGCGTTGTGACAGTTGCTTCCCGACAATGATCTAAATATTATATATCGATTATCGAGACCAAAAGCGACCAACTTGTTTCTACACGGCGGGTAAACATTTCATTTTTTTTTCGATTGGTTTTGTCAAGCAGAAGCAAATAAACACGTTTCTGATATTTTTGTAATTTACAAATTCTAATAAAAGGAAAATAAACGGTGGAAGATGGTCATAAATGTACAAAGCTGCTTAATCTTTTCAGACGACAAAAAGTAATTGGAAAACATCATCTTCTGTCTGGAAATGTGATGGGCTGTGATATACATATTAGAACGTCACTTTTATATCCTACGTCGCGTAAATTTTAGAAACATTTCAGTATAGGAAGAAATAATAGGAAAACATTTAATTTAGTTTTGTCTGGTTATCTTTCGACTTGTTATTTATCTATCACTCGTCACAGTATCACGATATAACACTTAACACGGACGTGCATACAGGCCAAGGACAAAAGGTACCTAGCCTCCACAACTAATGTCACACATGCGTTAGAATATCTCTTTGGGCTCAATAGGATTAAATAGATTGATTCGTTTTCTACGGTTTATCACCCTTTTGCTGATTATTTAAAGCCAGAAAATATTTTTACATTGCAATTTTTTTTTTGTTTGAAATAATGATGGTTTAGTGATACAAATCTTAGTAATTAACCCATAGCTGGGGGGGAGAAGATTTGGATTCATAAGTGTATTTGCGCGTAATTGAATATAACGAAATTAACTAGAATTGGAGCTCGGCTCTCCGATAAACAATTCCGAGCCATTATCCACTACACCACCTGCACACACAAACTTACAGCACCTGGTATTTCTAAGCGGTCATCCATCTAGGTACTGACTAGGCTTAGCATAAACCGGTTCAATAGGAGAGGTGATGCGATAGGTTTGGAATCCTTAGAACTGTGAGGTACCCGAAGGCATGAACACTGTTTCGCGTAGCGCGAGAAGATTGAATTGAAAAATCTTAGAGTACCCTGTGAAAGTTATGACTTTTGTAAAATAATTTATTTCCTGGCTCATAATTCGATGAACTTTAGTTAGAAAATAATGAAGAAGTGTTTAATTCAGTTTATTTTTTTAAATGTCTCCCCCAACACGAAATTTCTAAAATTGTATATAAGTATAATAGCCTTCCTGAAGCTTTCTAGAACTTTATGAACCTTCTAGAACTGTATAGAACCTTCTAGAATTTTAAGGAAATTTTTGGAGCTTCTAGAATTTTTTGGATCCTTCTAGAAATTTCTGGAGATTTATGACGTGCATTTTGTGGGATTATATAAGCGAGAACGCTGATTGGGTTGTCATTTAGATAAGGCGAATGGGGAAAAAGTGTGTTGTGTTTGTGATCATTTTTTTTTTTCAGAATATATAAGCTTCCTGATTGAGCAACCCTGATTGTTTTGCTGAAAGATCTCAAAGTACTCATTTTTAACTATAATGTCTCATAAAGAAGTGCTTCCACCACTGAAAGAAACAAGATCTGGACGATGTATCTCATAAGATTTCAAGAATCACATAAGAAAAGAAGAACTGTTCCACTCGAAGAACACTCACTGGAATACAAAAGCAGAATGCAACTCAAAATCCAAATTGTTATTTGGTCCTTGGAGCATCAAATGAAGAAAAGAACATGCGAAGGAAATTGCTAAAAAGTAACAATTTCATGGGAAAAAAAAATAAATTTCCCAAATCATGCAAAGTAAATTGGATCGAGTGCTGAATACCTACGATGTGTGAAACGAGGAAAATATGATTCATTGAATAAA